GGCGGGGACCACCGGCGGCGGAGCCAGCCCCCAGCCCCGGCCGCCGACTGGGAGGTCAGCCCGGAGGGAGGGCAGCGGGGAGCGGGGGACCCCGGGGAGAAGGGCTCTCGGGCTCTTAATCCCCCTGAAGGTTGCAGATGAAAGACGCTCGTTCAGAGGCCAAGGCGGTGCGGGTGGGGGCGGGGGCTGGCTGGGGCCGAAGCCTTCTCCCTGCTCTGTGGGCTAGGGCTCCCTGGCCAAGGACCCCAAACTGCCAACCCAGGGGCAAGGGGCTCAGGCCCGCGGGAAAGTTGCCCAAGCGCCCCCACAGGGCCTTCATGGAACTGCCCCTGCTCTGGGGATTGAGGGAAGGGTGTTCGTCCCTGCCACCCCAGAGAACAAAACTAGAATGTCAGGCACTTGACATATTCTTTAATCTTCGCAGAAGTCTAATGGGGTTTTTTAATTGTTGCTATTGGTTCATAAATGTGGAAACAGGCTTCCCCAAGGACACCCACCGTTAGAAAGCGGCAGAGCTACAGGGCTCAGGTCATGTCCTGCCCTTTCCACCTCACTACACTCCTCCAGCCCCTTTACCCTTCCTTGTTCTTCCCCATCCTCTTCCGCTGTTCTCCTGGGCTCCTTCAGTCCCACAAGCACAGAGCCACCCACCTGTGGCCCTGGCAAGTGGGATGGGGGTGGGAAGGAAATGTGGTGCCAAGGGTGCGGCCAATGTGGCAACAGCTACAGGCTAAATGCAGGGATGGGGCTGGGCAAGCATATGCCTGGATTGAATCTGAGCTGAAAGAATGTTCATGATGCCCCTGCCCCAGAGGTGGGGCTCACTGCTCAGAATAGAACCAAGCAAGTCAGAGCTGGAAGGGGCCTTCAAGATGATCTGATCCAACCCTCTTGTTTGACAGATGCAACTGAGCCCCATAGAGATGATGGTTCCTACTCCAGATGACACAGCTAGATGGTGGCAGAGCAGGAATGAGAGCCCGGGCCTTCAAATGGGGGCCTACTATGTGCCTGGCACTAGAATAGGTCTGCCCACATGATCTTGTTGAACGCTTCAGCCAACACTGCAAGGTGGAGATCAGCACCATCCATTCTAGAGATGAGGAAACTGAGGCTTGGAGAAGCTAAGCCCAAGGTCTCCCAGCTAGAAAATGGTTGAGCTGGTTTTGAACCCAGATCTTCTCAACAACTTCTCTTTCCACATCCCAGAATATTGGGGCTAAGGAGAAGAGATTGAGGGACGGAGAAAATGTCATGCATTCAATAGCTCTAGAGACACAAGAAGGGGACACAGGCTGGGAAAAGTTCCATCTTGCAACTTTAATCTAGATCAGCTCCCCAAGGCCTCTCTGAAGTGGCCCAAATCGGAGGTCCTTCCTGAATTCCCTTTTGAGAGTGTGTGGGGCAGGGGGGGGGAGCGGGGCGGGGGGAGTTGGCTGCTGGCCCTTCTAGGTTGTAAGGCCCTGGAGATACAAGAGAGGCCTTAATTAACAGGATCCCTCCAATGTCCTACCTGGGGAAGGGTGCAGCTCAGCTCCAGGCAGGTGGAAAGGCCCTATAGCTTAGCTGCCCCATCCCAGAGTTGCTCAGGGGGCACCAACCATGCTGTCCCACCCCAGCTCCACAGACAGATTCCATAAGCTTCATCCTCATACCGCTCCTGCTCCCCAGCCTTCTGGCCCTGCCCTACCTCTTCTTAGCTTCCCACTGATTCCATTCCATTCATTCATCCATAAATGCGTTACACAAAAATTGGTCACGTACCTCCTGTGTGTCAAAACTGTGCCAGGCACTGGGACTATAGCAGAAAGACTGCCCTTTTGGAGCCTGCAGTCTAGCAAGATGGTAGAATTAACCAAATAAATATGTAAATAAATTTATAATTACAAATTAATGTTATGGAGGAAAGTACCAAATGCTTTCAGAAGTTATAACCATAAGAAGTCTGTATGTATGGAATGATTATTGCGATGCTAGAGGCTAAAAATCATTGTTACTAATAATTACCCCAACAGGAGGGCTGAGGGCAATCCCTTATTTGCAGTCATGCCCATACAACCCCTGCAATTCTAGAGTGGGTCTCCAGTCCTCCCCCCAAGTGACTGCCCAGTCTGTTCCAGAGGGCCCAGCTGATATGGGTGGGAGTGAGGTGATTAGATGGTGGCCCCAATGAGAACAGTGCCTTCTGCTACCCAGCTCAGGGTTGGGGGTTGGGGCAATCCAGAGGTAATAAGAACTCTGGGAGAGAGCGTGTTTGCCCAGATAGGTCAGGGCTGAGGCTTGAGACAGAGTACTGGAGAGAGAGGTGGGCTGGGTCTGGAGGAGAGGGAAATGGGCCCAGCGAATGGGTGTTTGAGCCTCTGGCATCACTCCAAGAAGAAATCCCTCCCTGCTCTGCTTTCTGATCTGATCCTGCCACACACACTTACACTTACACACGTGCACTCTCCCTGACTCTTTAGGGAAGGGCTGGACCAGCCTGTGAAAAGTATAGCAGAGCTGGAAAAACCCTACCTGAGGTCAGACAGACTTGGGTTTAAATCCCACTTTAACCAGTTCCTTGACTATGTGACCTCAGGCAAGCTTCCTGGTACCCCTGAACCTCCTGCCGCCCCTCTGTTTGCTGACAGAACAGAAGCTGTTGCCATGTATGG